ACATGAGGCAAAAATTTCCTCACCTAATTGAGAAATGATGAAAAGTTGAATTTCGGGGGCAAAATTCTAATAATGAGGGAAGATTTGTAAGACAAAAATTCAGGTATGTAAAAACTAGAATTAATTAAACATATCTTGAAATTTATTTTAAAATGTAAGGTTAATTTAATGTTAAATTAGTATTAACAGTTAAGTTAAAATAAATTAGTAATTAATGTTATTATTATAAATATTAAACCAAGTATTTACAAATAAAAAACATACGATTGTTCAATAGTTTCGTTTCACATTAATAGGAGTATATCTCTTCCCATTTGGTCTTTTCATATCAGTCTTCTGTTTGCGCGTGAAGTAGAAAGTGGAGTGGTCTTAGTAGAGTATGTGTGTGATAAGCAGAAAGGAGTGAGGGTTCGACTTGTGAAGGAAGGATTGGCTGTAGAAGTGAAGCAAGGAGTGGAGAACAGGGATCGGGTAAGAGCAGGTATTATTTGATCGGCTGCATTGTGAGTATAGAAGACGGAAGAGGAGCATATAGCGAAGTAGAATTTCTGTGATAACTTGCAGCCGCGAGAGAACAGTGGCATTGAGGAGAATTGGTTCTTGGTGGGTAAGAAGCAAAGAAACTTCTGCTGAGTGGAAGAAGATTTTGATGGGAGCTTGTGAGTAGTGGAATCAAGTACGGCTATGAGTGAAGAGTGATCTAGGTAAAGGACGATGAAGAGGAAAAAGTGAAATTGAGGGAATGGATTTAAGGTAAGTGATTTGATTATACTTTAATATTATACTAGTCTTTTAGATTTCTTAAAATCAGTAAACATTTCTATAGATAATTACATAAATTTTGTTAGGATTCAAATATAGAGGGGAGGTTACGAAGTAATTTACAAAAGAAAAAAGGGGCAATGTGTCAGAAATGAAGAGAAAACTTGCAAAGAGGTAAGAAATGCAATTTTAAATTTGAAAAAAAAAAAACAAATACTTTTAATTTTAGATACATAAACACTTGTAATTAAATGAACTGAAGGGTGAAAAAATATTAAGCTTATTCAATTTATTAAATATTTGTATACATCCAAGTATTCATTTATGAGCAACCACATTTAAGTTTGGATAATTGAAGTTTAAAATAAGATATAGTATGATATTTTAATATTTCCTAGTTGTTAATATTTTGGAAATAACTCATAGCATATTTTTATGAAAGCGATATAGTAGATAGATTTTTATATAAACATGTACAGACAACTAGTATGAATTCTAATTTCAGCCTAATGCATATCAAATTAGGAAATGTTGGCTGAAATGAGATAATACTTGTGTCGCAAGTGGGCAAGCAATTCCAAAAGAGATAAAAGAAACTCCATGTAATCAATGGCGATAATATCGGGTTTAAATGAGCTCCATTGAGCATTCTTATAAAAGATAACTATGTGAAAAATGATAACCATAACCTTAAACGGCTAATTATTATATTATGTACAGGCTTCAAATAAAATAAAATATGATCTTGAACATGTTTCAAATTGTTTTACAATTATTTTATGAATTAAATTAGTCATGATTTAAATTACATTAATCCCTATAATGTTTTATAAAATTTATTTATCTGAATTGCATAAACTTTCTGAACTTTATAGCTCATCATTTTTATATTGGCTGTTGTTACAAAAAAAGACAATAAAAAGTTGAAGCCAATTAGGCTTAGGTTAATAAATTTAGGTTTTATTGTTCGCAATATATGTGATTCTAAATCTGAGGTATGTAATTGTTATTCATCTGTGATGTTTTAGACTCTCTTAATGCCTTTGTAATTACTTTTGTGATACAATAGAAACTATTTAATGCTTCCTTTTATTCAAAAAATGTGTTGTTAGGAACATTATATATATGAAAATAATTAAAAGCATAAGATGTTGAGAACTATGAATGTTATGTTTTCTATGTTACATTTTGTGTTGCTGGTAGAGCGTATCACGGGTGTACAAAAGGAGGGATAATATTTCTTCAAGGCATCATGATGTTGCAATTGTCTTAATGAAAAGAAAGCCAAAAGAGAAGCTAATCTTGCCTTACTAACAAAAGCGATAGAATTGGAGCTCCCAGCCTTCCCGAAACCACCAAACATAGGCGACCTGCATTCATATAGTAAGTTAAAAAAATGAGGAAATGTAGAATAAATAATTTACTTAAGTGCTGAAGCTATCCAACACTTAAAATGATAGAATAAGAAATTTCCTTTTAAATGCAAGTATGTTCCTTAAGCTAAGGTTCTGTAAGTTACTTATAAATATGGATAGCCCAGGTAGAATCAATAACAAGTACAATACAAAAGATATAATTAATAGGAATGGGGAAGCAGTTTATAATATGCTTAATAATATTGAAAAATATCAGTTTTAACCACGAAGTAGAGGATTTTGTACCGGCTGTGGAGTGGGGATGCTAGCATTTGGGTCACCCATGTTGGCCCACGCAATAACACCACCTTTGATCACCATTTCTGGTTTTGCACCAAAGAAAGAAGGCGTCCACATAACAAGATCAGCAAACTTCCCAGCCTGTGCAAGTAGGTTTAATCATTCTAGAAATATGATATAACATTAATCAAAAGGGAGAAACTCTTAATTTCCCAATCTTGCGATTGATAATCAACCATCACTCATGAATATTCGAGCTTCATAAAAAAAAGGAAAAAAAAAAAGAACGAGGAAAAATTTAGCAGAAATAAGTTTTATTTGATTTAGGCGAGAATCATTTTAAAATTTTTTTATTGCATCAGGAGATGGAATCTCCATTCAATGAAAACAAGATAATGCAATAAAAAAATTTAACTAAGCATATGTGAGCTCTAAAAAGCTTACCCGGTTTTGTTAAAAGAATGTGGCTTCGGTTGTGATTTATATCTGGTTGAGATCATTAGATTCAACGAGATCTTTATCAAGGAAGCCAAAAGCATTTTGCATCTTTTTTCTTCCAAGCATTAGGGATGCATTAGGATGATTGTATGCAATATAAGTCCCTCTCATTATGATCCTCAATCCTGCAGAGCGATTAGATCACCATTGGCAAAGAGGAGCCTCTAAGCATTGCCTTTTGAATTTTGAGTGGAGGAATTTCTTTAGCCCAGTGAATGGATATAATAATATCCTTTTTTAGGGGGCAATGATGGCCTATTAGCCTAATCGCATCCGGCTTATAATCATTTTATTTGCAGCCATCATTGTGATATTCCATATCCTTTGATTTTGCAAGTTTGAAACAATAGGATAGATGATTTGTTTGGTTGGTGAACAATTTAGTGGCAAACTTTAAACTTAACAAATATGAACATTTTAGCATCGTGGCTAGTAATGCTGTCTCCATTTAAGGTAGGGAACCAAGACATTTATCTATCTCTTACAATCTTGAGACACTTGGAATCTTTGGCAGACAAACTGAGGCAAAAAAATCCAATATTGACTTAAATTAATTGTAATTTCTAATATGTTTTATTTTACTAGTGTCAGTAGCCTGTAGTGTCAAATGATAAACAAAATGACAAAGGAGAATGACTTATACTACCTGATCAACTACAACTTGCCAACGCAGTAAAGATCCTCATAAAAATAATCAGCCTGCCCAGATTAGAGGGATGAAGAAGCCTTATATTTATTGTACAATATTTATCGATGAATTATTGAATCATGAAAAGTCTACCTGTAAGAAATTAGGATGCCAATAAATGTCAACATGCCGGGTTTGAGCTTGACCCAAATTCAATCAACTCGAGACCGACTATTCAATAAACAGGGCAAAAAAGATGGATCCGAACCCGACCGACTTGCAACCTATTTTAATTAAAAAAATTATAACTTATTAACTGTATATTGTTAGACACTACACGCCTCTTTAAGCGGAAGTGTCGGTGCATCTTAGCCTTTAAGTTAAATCCATCACAACCTAGCTTTCTCATCACCTAATGAATACAAAGGTAAATGGAAAATCCAAAAAATCCATTTTTCAAGCTATAGGACAATACATGTATAAAAAGTAAATTAATTTGATGAATCATAAATGAAATTAAAATTTAGGGTAAATAATTTAAATATTAAATCAATTTT